GAAAGAGAAATCTGGAACTGATGTGATCCTTCCCTGCCCACACCCTTCAGTAATTCCTGTTGTCTATCCCTGGACACCAGTGCAGCCCTTCTGAGGCGTCCAGCACTCTCAAAGCACCACACCCCCACCCTTCCCAGGCGTCCAGCACTCTGGATGGCCCCCTGCAGTTCTGGGGGACCAACCTCAACAGTGGCCGGACCATCCAGGTCTCAGGAGCCAGGTGACACAGATCCCCAGTGTCTCTTCCCTTCTGAGACCAGGGCCTGGGTCTCAAGTTTACACCCTGTACTAGGCTCTCTTGAGTGACAAGCTCAGTGCTGGGCATCTAGGAAAGACATTAAATCAGTTGATCTTAAAGCAAACTTTGGCTTATGAGTGGATGGATGTTTCTGAAACAATAAATAAAAAGGTCACCTACAACTCAGTTGAGTGCCATTTTCTTTTCACTGCAGATTCCATGGCCCATGAGTGGCCCCTGGACACGGTGGCTCTACCTGCAGGAATCTCTGTCCCCACCCCCTCCTGCCCTCTGTGCACCGTCACCCTTTGCTTCCTCCTCCCCCCCTCACCTGTCAGTGCACCTTATGGCAGTGGCAAGAAGCTGCACTCCTTGTGTTGGGCAAATCTGCTCCCAGGCCCTGCCCCAGACTGGAATTTTGTGGTCTTGCGTTTGTCCTTTTGGAAATAAGGGGTGGTGTCTTCCAGTACCAGGGTGGGACTCTGTAAGGTGAAAGATGCATGGCTTTTCTCACTCCATCTCATCCAACCCAGATTCCAGACACGGATCTCTCCTTGGTGGTGGTTTTGGTGTCTCCAAGGAAAGTGGTAATGAACTGTGTTTGGCATTTGTATGGACTCCCATTAATATAAATGGAGATGTTAAGCTTAGATGTGTTCTTCGAATTGTCGCATTAGAAAAGTGGGGTAACCGTCACCTAGCTGCAGGGGGCGCTGAGCCTGTGGTGAGGCCCCCAGGGTATTGGTGGCACCAAGATTTGGTTCAGTAACCAACGTTGATCTTACTCTGAGCCTCTGCATTGGGTAGATACGTCTACCTTAGTGAAGAAGGGTTTTTTCGTTTTGTTCTTTAAATTCTGCTCTTTAAGCCCAACCTGAAATTTTTGGTGGTGTAGTTCTTCTTAGCTTATATGTGTGTGTGTGTTTACTGAACTTTTTGTTTCAGAACAGTTTTAGATTGCTTTTTTGGGTTTTTTAAAATAAATTTACTTATTTATCTTTGGCTGCGTTGTGTCTCCGTTGCTGCGCGTGGGCTTTCTCTAGTTGCAGGGAGCGGGGGCTGCTCTTCGTTGCGGTGCACGGGCTCTAGAGCACAGGCTCAGTAGTTGTGGCTCGTGGGCTCTAGAGCACAGGCTCAGTAGTTGTGGCTCGTGGGCTCTAGAGCGCAGGCTCAGTAGTTGTGGCGCACAGACTTTATTGCTCTGCGGCATGGGGGTTCTTCCTGGACCAGGGCTCGAACCTGTGTCCCCTGCATTGGCAGGCGGATTCTTAACCACTGTGCCACTAGGGAAGGCCTGCTTGTTTGTTTTTAATACTGGATTTTATAGCCATTCTCCCTCTTTCTCTGGCTTGGTTTGGTTGCGGAAATTTGAGTTCATTGTCAATGACACCTGGAAGCTGCACTGATAGCCAAGTGGTCCCTCTAAAAGTGGTGTTGCCAGCAGGCCTATAGAGCCCTCCATCTGTGTGGCTCTGCCCCAGCCGTTCCACCCAGCAGCTCTCTTCCCTCATCAAAGTTTCCCATCCCCCATCCATTGGCCCGGCCACTTTCTTGCAGTTAGTCACCTTCCAGATGCCCTCCAACCCTCTCTTGGTGCAGATGGGCTGATCGCCCATCTCCACTTGGCTTTTTTCACTTGACATTAAATATATTTTGGAGATCACTCCACATCAGTAAGTGGTGACGTTACTCAGCCTCTCTTAGCTGCGTGGCACTCCACGGACATTGCCCCCATGCTGTGTTTGCATGCTGTGCCGTCACCGTCTGACGCCTTCCTTCTTTAAGTGTGTCCTCTTTCGGCCCCCACGCCTTCTCCTAGTGCAGGGGGCCTGGGGACCAGGTCCCGTGTGCTGTGGCCTAGAGGGGCTCCCATCACGTGTGTGCTGCGTGAAGAACTCGTGTTGTTTCTGGACTTGGGCACAGGAGACGGGGTGGAGGTCAGCCTCCCTCTGGAGGGTTCTGGAGGAGCAGGGGTGGCTGATTGGCTGCTGCACCGGGCTTACGTTAGGTGACGATGGGACCCTCACTTGATGGGTACAGAAAGCCTTCTCTTCCTCCTCTTGGTCTTAGCCTTGCTTTCATCTTTGGGGAGATCCTCAGAAGGGAAACTCTCATCAGTTAGTATGTTTTGACTCTCTGATAACCATTTCTTTAACAATTTGTTTTATTAAGGTTTCAGGATGGGTGTAGCATAGGAGGCATGAGAGCCCGTTCTCGTCTTCTGCCTTTTTGCCCTGCGGTGAATGCACTGCGGTCTAAGGAGCTTTCCCTTGTTTATGGGCCCTCGGACTCGGGAAGGGGTCCCTGTTCTTGCCCATCTTTGGGTTCACGCTGGGCTTTTAGGAGTTCTGCAACCCCTGTGACATTGGAAGTAAACTTTCTCCCTGCATTGTATTGTTCTGGAGGTCTTGTGTAGCATGGCGTTTTTTTTTGTTTTTGTTTTTTTTTTTTGCGGTACGCGGGCCTCTGCTGTGGCCTCTCCCGTTGCAGAGCACAGGCTCTGGACGCGCAGGCTCAGCGGCCATGGCTCACGGGCCCAGCCGCTCCGCGGCACGTGGGATCTTCCTGGACCGGGGCAGGAACCCACGTCCCCTGCATCCCAACCACTGCGCCACCAGGGAAGCCCAGCGTGGGGGTTTTATTGCCTCTTTAAAGGAGTTGGTGATCCAACAACAGGTTCAGAGCGACTGCTCAGAACCTTGCTTTGGGCTCTGTGGGGAATCGCTGACGCTGCCCCTTCCGTCTTCTACGCTGTTTACACAGGAAGCACCTCCTTCCTATTTCTGCACGGAGGGCTGCAAAACTGTAAATACAAAGGTTTACTCATGTCTGTTTAAATTAGTCAAAAGTAAGTAAAAATGAAATTTCAGTTCCTTAGCCACATTCCAAGTACTTAATTGCCACATGTGGCTGGTAAGTACCTTAACAGCACAGCTAGGGGACATTTCCATCATCCCAGAGACTCCTGTTGGGCAGTGCTGTTGCAGTGTTTAATTTACACTAAATGCCAAAGATGTGCCTTGTTTTCAGTGCCTGATTTCTTTGTCCATTTTTGCTGTGAGATAAGCTTCCTAACACAGCTTTCTTTTTCTTTGTTCTAGTCTTTAGAAGAAGTATGTGACCTGCTGCACGCAGCCCCTTTCCAGAACATCTTACCGAGAGTCCACGTGAAAGGTGAGCCAGTCCTCTGACCAGGGCAGGGATGCGTGTCTATGTGGCCAGAGTTCTCTTTAGTTACAGGCCAGCTTTGTTTGAGTTTCGTGCCTGTTCAGTCATAACCTGGGGTAATTAGTAACATAATGTAGTTAAATGAGTATCAAATAACGGAAGTATTTAGGGCTGAAATGCTGTGTCTTGGATGTGCTTCAGAATAGCACGGAAGCAGGGGTGTTGGGTATCTATGAAAGAAGAGTGCCATCTCATGATTGTTGCAGCAGAGGGGCACAGAGGATTCATTGTACTGTGCTCTGTTTTTGATTATATTTGGATTTTTCAGTAAGTTTTAAAAAGTGAATATTGAACAGAAAATTAATTCTGAGTTAAAATAGCAAATGAGCCAGTTCCATAAAAGAACTTTCAAAGAGAACCTACATGTATAATGTTAAACATTTTTCATTTGGTTAGGTTTTGTTTGTTTTGACAAAATTAAACTTGTGCAGTTGTTATTCATACAAAGGAATAGAGTATAAAATAATTTTTTCCACTGCAGAGGGAGAGAGACTTGATGCCAAAATGAAAAGACTAGAATCAAAGTACGCCCCACTGCATCTTGTCCCTCTAATTGAAAGACTGGGAACCCCTCAGGTAACGCATGTTGGGGCTGCTGTCACTGCCGTGAGCTGGGCCCACACATTAGGCCACTGGCGGGGTTGGGGCTTGAGAGCACGGGCTCTGGGTGAGACCTAGCCCTGAAGCGTCGTAAGCGGGGATGAGCCCGCTCAGCTGCTCAGGCCCCAGTGTCTCAAGTGGGGCTCTTAACAGGACCTTGTCACGGGGTGGCCGGGAAGTTTGCATGAGCTAACATGTGGAAGGGACTTAGATCATCACCTGGCATGGGAGACAGACACGGAAAACGTCGCTGTTTTTGTTGTCTGTCCCTTCACGAAGAAGGTCTTCTCATAGGTTTTTAAGAACAGAAAGCAGGGAGGAGTTCCGTGAACTTAGACCAGCTACATCAGTCTCTCTCAACCTCAGCACTGTCGCCATTTTGGATGAGATAATTCTGTGTTGTGGGGACTGTCCTATGAATTGTAGGACATTGAGCAGGATCCCTGGCCTCTACCCACTAGATGCCACTAGACCCACCCCAAGCTGTGTCAACCAAAAATGTCTCCACACATTGCCAGATGTCCTCTGGAGACAAATCACTCCCCGTTAAGAACAGCTGTACTCGACAGTTCTCAACTCTGAAATACGTTTAGTGTGGTAAGACATACGGGTAATAGCTGACGTATTTATTTTGTTGGTGCTTATTTCTAAAAACCCTCTTCTGCAAGCTGGGATAGTTTCCAGTGGGTCAAAAACAAAACTGGAGTACTTTAGTTTCAGCACTCCAGCCTCCTGCCATGCCCGTGACATTTTGTCCTTCCTACAGCAAATTGCCATAGCAAGAGAGGGGGACTTGCTGACGAAGGAGCGCCTCTGCTGTGGCCTGTCTATGTTTGAAGTCATCCTGACTCGGATCCGGACCTTTCTGGACGACCCCATCTGGCGTGGGCCCCTGCCCAGCAATGGGGTCATGCACGTGGATGACTGTGTTGAGTTTCACAGACTGTGGAGCGCCATGCAGTTTGTCTACTGCATTCCTGTGGGAACACACGAGTTTACAGTCGAGTAAGCGCTCGGGGCGGGGTGGGGGAGAAAACCTGGCACCGGGCTAACACAGGGGACCACCTTCCTCTGGAAGCGGACCCCCAAATTGCTGAGCTGCTATAAAGCTGCTCCAGTGGGGGCTCTTGCCTGAGGCCCAGCAAGTGCCTCAGGGCTGGGCTTCTGGAGTTCTCTGAACTCATGGAAACTTGTGCAAGCCAGGTGTACATTTTGCTAGATAGGAGGGCCACAACTTCATGAACTCATTCTTCATGGAGGAGCCACAGTTTGCCAGAGGAAGCCCAAAGAGGTGTTTACCAGGGACACACCTCTGCTCAGCATTCCAGGCGGGGCACACAGGTGGTTTGGTCGCTGGAACCTGATCACTCATCCTACCTACTGCTTCTTGTCCCCAGGCAGTGTTTTGGCGACGGGCTCCACTGGGCTGGTTGTATGATCATTGTGCTTCTTGGGCAACAGCGGCGCTTTGCTGTACTGGATTTTTGCTACCATCTACTCAAAGTCCAAAAACATGATGGCAAGGATGAAATTATCAAAAACGTGGTATGTGGAAGTTTCACAAAAAGAGATACTTTCTAGTTATTGTAAGTCGTTTTTTGGGGGAATGTTTCTCATGCCAGGACAACTGAAGCGTTCTTTTCCCCAAATGAATCTAAATAGAATTAGTAAGTAAAGGAGTCTGGTACTGAAATACTAATGGTTCCATTTTCCTTCTGTTTTCAAGGTATGTAGACCTACTTCAAATTATAGAGCCTTGTAAGATCTGCATTTTCAGATTATTGGCATACCCTTCAAGTCTTCTGGCTCCCTTCATTGTAGTTAAAGTGTGTTTGGGGCTTTTTTAAAGATCTTTTTTGTGTTTTATGGATTCTTTGTAATTGAATTCCAGAAAATACTCTGCCATTATCTTTTCAAATATTTTAGTTTTTCTTCCATTTTGGGACTTCAGTTAGATATGTGTCAGACGGACTTATCTGGTCTCCACTTAGTATCTCACAGTTTTCAAGGTCAGAAGTCGGGTACAGCACAGTTCAGTTGGGTCCTCCATTTACAGTTTCACAAGGCCACTATCAGTGTGTCTGTAGGGCTGTGCTCCCTTCTGGAGCCTGTGGTCATGGATCTGCTTCCAGATTCATTCAGGTGGTTGGCTCAATTCAGTTCCCTACAGTTGGAGAACTGAGGTGTCTATTTCCTTTTCCTTGGCTCTCTGGGCTGTACCCAGAGTACTGTCTTCATTTAACTCACTCACTTCAGCTCAGTCTGTCCTGCTGTGCTTTTACTTTCGAAAGTCATTAGTTTATATTTAAAATGTTGATTTGCTTCTTCTCCAAATCTTGGTAGTAATTGATAATTTTATCTTCTTCATGGAATTTTTTTCCAATGTTTATTTCTTTACACATTTCATGTATCTTATATTCTTTTTTAGTTCTAGTATCTGAGGCCTTGAGGGGTATCTAAAACTCTGAAATGTTCCACTGTGTTGGACTTTTTGTCTGCATCAGGTCTTAGTTGCAGCACGTGGGATCTCACTGCGGCACGCAGGCTCTTCGTTGCGGCACACAGGTTTCTAGTTGTGGCACGCGGGTTTTCTCTCTCTAGTTGTGGCGCGCAGGGTCTAGAGCACATGGGCTCTGTAATTTGAGGCATGCAGACTCTCTAGTTGAGGTGCGCGGGCTCTGTAGTTGTGGCGTGCAGGCTTAGTTGCCCCGCTGCATGTGTGATCTTAGTTCCCTGACCAGGGATCAAACCAGCGTCCCCTGCATTGAAGGCAGATTCTTTACCACTGGGCCACCAGGGAAGTCCCTGTGTGTTGGATTTTATTTATTTGGCAGCTCTTGTTTGATAGGGTTTTCTCCTAGGATTTTCATTTACTGTTCATCTCCCAGAATTATTACCAACTTGGGACCACTTTAGCCTAATGAGAGGTCCAGGCTTCGTGGAGTGTCTCCAGGTGTAGTCCACCTTGCTTACTGCCCAGGCTGTCTCCTCATCCCACTGCTGCTGGTGGCATCTATCCCTGAGGAAGTCCTGGCTTTTGCTTTACTTCCTGCATATACAGAACCAGCAGTGCTTGTGGTTTTCTTTATCCGGTTCTATTATAGCATGAAGGTCTGTCAAAGCATCCTGCCCACAATAACTGGAAATATTTAAAACTTGTGTTATTACTAGTTTACTGGTCTTTCGCCATTGTCCGTATTATCTTCATCTTTACATTCCTGGCTTTTAGGAGGTGCCCTATAGGTTCTTAATACCTGTTTGTTGAATAAATAGGTCTTTAAGTTTCACAAATGAATCTACAGTTAGCAGCATGAAACCAACAGAGAAATGTTGCAAAATATATTCATCGGTCCAATAGTTACATTAATGATATGGTACGTGTCAGTAGTTTGCTATAATTTTTCTGAGAAAATATGAAAATCCTGACATTCTGACACATGAAAAATAAATGTGTAACTGTTATTAGCAAAACATCCTAATTTTAACTGTTGTATGTAGCCTTTGAAGAAGATGGTGGAGAGAATTCGCAAGTTCCAGATTCTAAATGATGAGATTATCACTATCTTGGACAAGTACTTGAAGTCGGGTGATGGAGAGAGCACGCCCGTGGAACACGTTCGCTGCTTTCAGCCACCTATCCACCAGTCTCTGGCCAGCAGCTGAGGGCATGTGTATCACCTGTTTTTGAAGAGTCCCAGTACTGACTGCATTTAAGAACTCTAAGGGCATGTTTTTCTTTCCATAAACTAGTTAGATTTTTAGGAACTATTTTTCAGTATCTCTGTGCCTGTTAAAGGGGGTGTTTTCAATCTAAAAGCTTAATTTTATAAAGTTGACTTATTTTTCTACACTAAAATTGTATATACTTTTGGTAATTGGGAAGTCGGAGGATTTGGCTGCTGATGGTTGCCATCATGTCCTTACAAAATTATTTTCCATTTTTCTATGGAATGTTCCAACAGCTAGCTATGTTACAAAGTGCTGTTGAGTTCATCCATTTATCCTTTAACAAAGGATCCGTAACATTTAGGGAAAG